ACGGAGCAGAGGCCAGAGGGGGTTGCAGTGGCGTGCCCGCGGGCTCTGCCGGCAGCCAGCTGTGCCAGAGAGGACCGGGCTTCAGGCCTGAGGGCACCCCACCCCCCGGAAGGGGCCCAGGCACACAGGCACTTTTATTAACATACAGCATAGATGTACATGAAAAAATTACTCAAAACGAAATTATTAGCATTTATTAAATAATAATGCTCCAAAAATAAAAGAGAACAATGTTGTTTTTTCTGCATAACAAAAAGCTCACAATTGTGCAGTCAAAATGTAAACTAAAACACGATGAGCATAATAACAAAGAGACAGATTTCGCAGCTGCTCTGTTCCCAACTTCTACTGCGTGACTGACAGCCTGGAGTTTGAAATCCTCTTTGTAACCACGTCGCTGAACAGGTGCAATTTATGGTCCTTATACACACGTACGGTAATATTACGTTGAAGCATAGTACGTATCACTCCGCGAGGGTCCTCGGTAGCCGTAATGCTCCGACAATCCATAGAGTGGTGCAGCTCCGTAGCTTACCAAAGTCGTACTAAAAAAAATTTTGACGTATTGCTGAGCGCTGTGTTCCACATAAAATCAGTTTGCGGTCATCAAGCACAACCAGAATTCATACATAAGGCGGGCTGTCAATTTGTGAGAGAATGAAAGGATTTTAGGCATTAGCATGGTTAGCTCGTTAACATGTTCATGCCATCCAGCCCCACGCACGGGGCTATGTGCAGTAGCTCGTTAACAGAGATTTGCCGTGTCCATCTTGTCCTTGCCTGCAGGTGAAGCGGTGGGGGAGGAGGGGGAGTTCTGTTCAGTGAAGGAGAGAGGCGAGGCGCCGAGTAACGTTGTTTAGAGACAAAAGTGGATGAAAGAGAGGCAAACTTGCGGCTCCACAAGTATAATTATAACGTAACCTAGACTATATTGATATAAAGGATATTGTCACATCTTATATCTCGTATAAAAATATATCGATATTTTTTAAAAAAACTCGATATATCGCCCAGCCCTAATCTCTACCCATATCACTCATGGGAAGCATTGCTTCAATAAAAATTATGGTCTTGCCAAAAATTAAGTGATTTCAGGTAAACCATCTTTGTATATTTCCAAATACATTTGGAAAGATAAACCATATCAGCTTAAAAACACTACAAGGGACAAAGGAGGACTAGATCTGCCTAACTTCCAGCACTACTTCTTAGCCAACAGGCTTCAGTTCATCACAGGATGGTTAAAACACACCCTCTTAGATGAGCCCTGGCTGGATATAGAACGGGCACTATGCAATAATTTAGAGATTTCAGATCTACCATTTATCAGCTCAAACATCAAACGACATGAATGCTTTAAAACATCAACGTCAGCTCTTCTCTGACAGCTGGTGGGAGTTTCTAAGAAATGAC